ATATATATATATATATATATATATATATATATATATATATATATATATATATAATTATGTTGTTTTGCAACACTTTCTCGTAGTATACCATGGAACATCCCACATGTCACTTGTCACTATTTTCGACGAATAGACTAAATGATTACATTTCTTAGAAGTTCCATTTCATATTTTTGCCCAACAGACAACGCTCTAGAAGGTCATGTGATATCAACGTATTTAGTCCACTCCGAGCTGGATTGTTTGCAAAAATGTCTCTTGAACGCCAAATGCTTGTCTCTCAACTTTCAACTTCTCAGCGCAGGGTCCCGTCACGTTTGTGAGCTGAATGACGCGACTCGGTTGTCATCTGCTCACGGGCTCACGTTTTGTGGCGGATGCTCATATCTCGAACCTATAGTGTTACCAAACCTGGTAAGAGATAAAATATTGATGCCTTGCTTCCCTGATATTGTGAATATATTCTTTTTTGACTTATAAGGTGTCCACAATTAGCCCACACGCTTAAACACGTCTGACACTTCAATAACGTCCTAATTTTTTTTATCCTTTTGAATTTGAGGGACTAGTTATTAATAAACATCAGGAGTGCATTTCTAAGGCAGTGGTTATTCTATATCGACTGGGCGCAGACTGGGGCCTTGATTTGGACAGAGGTGGGGAAAGAAGAAAAGAAGATCACTTACTTTAAGCTGAACCTGGGAAACGCTGTACCTCGGTATCTCGGCATATTAATAGCTTTCAATGTTAATCATTGGAAAAAGTAACATTTGCTTCCGGTGTGAGATCTGGAACTAATGAAACACCTAGGTAACCTTTCTGTTGACTGAACCTTCGTATATTTCAGGGACAGGAAAGTTCATCACATGTGACAGACAGCCTACAGAACTCAGCTGCATCCCCAGCTCAGAGCAGTCAAGAAGAGATGCCCTTCGGTAATACTGACTGTTCTGTTTCAAAAAAATGCAGCTAAAAAATACTGCAAGAGTTACTCGTTTCTATTTATTTACTTTGACAAATACGTCGCTCGGTCAATTAGAGCTTGTATTTTCTAGGACCTATTAAGAAATACTAAGATAGTACGCGCGCCCTCATTGGTCAGTAGGAGAGTTTAGATGAGACGTTACAAACACGGCTTTTGAAAAATATTTTATGAAAGCAATAGAGGACTTTTTACCGTGTTTATATCGCTTCATCTAAACACTCGGGCGGCGGGGNGGGGGGGGGGGGGGGGGCACTGGGAGAATTATTGAAGTTTGCAAACCAGAGACGGAGTCGAGGGTTTGCATAACTGTCCCGAATGCTCCCAACTCCCCTCGTGTTTAGATGAGGCTATGTCAACACAAACAAGTACTTTATTACTTAAGTTCAGCACAGGCGTATCTTTCTTCTACTAATAATCAGTTGGTAAGATATTGGGGAGACACATGAAAACAGCTTAAAGCACGCAGCTGCTGCGTTAAGGATGTAACTTTGGATACGTAGAGAATAATGCACTAGTTAGCGTACGTGTCTTATTTAAGAAAGGCATTCATCATACGAGGATACGGAAGCTAGACAAACAAGAACCCTGCGTTTTAATTGGCGTCGATGGTATCTGTAGATTTTGATGGAACACGTACCTTGCTTGTAACAGAGCCTGGCGTTGTTGTGAGATCAGGAATACGGTCAGGAACAACTCCTTTTTAATTTCACATTAACCAGGCACCTTTAGCACCCCTTAACTCATAATATTCCAAGATAGCATGCAAACTAATATACAGAGCATTTATCATTATGCTATTTCTTCCATCCCTTGCTAGTGTCCACTGTCACATCTCCGATGGTATTATCAGCCCTGTTAACACCGTCAACGTCAACAGCTGTGCAATTACCAATGGTGTCGTCCGCGGCATTAGTTCTATCCACGTCACCAACAATGTCCACCTTACCGATGACGTCATCGGCTATTTTGGTTGCATCTTCCTCAACAATGAGGACGATTGGAATATGTTCCGTGACATCAATTCTACAAATGTCACCATCATCGGTCGTCTTATTTATGTCGTCATCGGTTGCACAACTAGCAGGTGTCAAACGGTTTCCATTGTCTTTTAATTTTGCTCACTATATTCAAACTAATATTACACTCGATAAAAAAATGAAGATGGTTTTTCCCGCTTTTTTATGCTGAATGAATGGATGATTGATCCATCGACCGGCCGAACGGCTGGTTGGCTGGTTGTCCGGTCTGATTAACAGCCTGATTGACTGACTGACTGACTGACTGACTGACTGCTTGCTCTCTCGCTTTCTCGTTTACTTGACTGACTGACATACTGATTGATTGATTGATTAATTCAAGTGAATATGTGGAAGTATCATGTATTTGAATTGCGGAGAAAGAAAAGAAGACATGATTGATCATCACAGTTATATACACAACTTAAGCAGTTGTGAAATGATAGCCTGAAAACTATTCAGGCTTGAACGGGATTCGAACCCATGACCTCTTCCGACACCGGTGCAGTGCTCTACCAACTGAGCTATCAAGTAACTGGGATCTGGTCACTTTGTGAGTCCGTAATATACCTGTAGATGTTGAAGATACAAGTGAATATATGAAAGATTGATTGATTGAAAGATTGATCGATCGATCGATTGATTGATTGATTGAATGATTGCCCACTGTAGTTATTAATCTACTTACTTTCAAACATTTTTCATGCACTAGAGCTGAAGGAAAGTCCAACTGTTGTTCTTGAAGCCTTCCTTGCGGTGAATCCTGAAATGTTGGCATTTTTTGAAGATGAGCCTCTGATGTCCACTCCAGCAACACAGCCAACACTTCAAAAAGAGCGGAAAAATTCACCTGATGAAAGAAAAATTAATAAAAATAAATGAACAAGGTTGCGCAGTCATTTCTGACAAAAAAAACCCTCAAATTTGAAAATGAAAAAGTCGCTTCATTTTTATGGAAGAAGCAAAACTGGAAAATATGACTGAAGGAAGATTTTTAGAGTAAGGAAAGAAGTAACAAAGCAGGCATAGCTCACAGGGATGTTCATCATACCTTCTAGAATTTAAAACCTTAATGTTTTGGTATTACAGAGAGTGTTTACAACAGTTGTAACTTATTGTGGTCACTATTAGATTTTTAAGTTGCTATCTTATTGCTCTCTTATTAAGAGCTTAAATGAACAACTGCCCAAAACACTTAGCAATAAAAACAAGTTGTTGCTGTGTAGCACTTTAAATTGAATTGCATTACTTTCGTTTAAGTTAACAAAAGGTGCCTAATGGTACTTTTTGAGACGTTTTGCAGGAAAAACCCATTCATCAGTCGCAAATGAAACGACTGATGAAGGGGTTTCTCCCGAAACGTCTCTAAAAGTACCATTAAGCGCTTTTTCTCAACTTAAACGAAAGCAATGCAATTGCTCAAAACATGCCCACAGGACAAGACCTTCAGCGGTTCATTCTAAAATTTCCAAATTATGATATGATATTAACTGTCAAAACTTGAGATAAGGAGGTAATATGAAAATCTCAAGTAACAGGTTGCCCTTGCTTCTCTAAAAAAAAAAATTCAACCCAAAGTTTAACTACAAAATATCAAGAAATGCTTGCTAAAAAAAATGCTATGTTAGCAGAGTAGTGAGAAACAAGAAAGGAGCCGAAAAGTGCACACTCTGGGTAAAATGTAAAACCATCACAATGGTATAACTGCGAAAGGAAAAAGCCAAAAGTACCTTGTTTTGAGAAAAGGAAACAGACTTGGTCACCACCTCTGAAAGCAAAATGACAAAATAAATAAATTATCAAGCAGTTTAATAATGCAAAGGCATTTGAAAAGGAAAGATAAATGAACAACCCATAAATACAGAGGCACATACACAATGATGGATGACAAGGATTATGATCTTTCCAAGAGGATGCACACTGATTTCCACTGTTTTATCAATTTAATGATGCTTACACAGCAACTTAGAACTATTACTTGCTAAAAAATAGATGGCATTCAGAGAGGCATTTTGAGCGTAAAATCAAGACAATTTTTTTCCATATTATTTATTATAGATGCAAATACAAAATTACAGAACCTAATATAAACATAATTATACTAAAATGATGATGAAGTGGTGCAACTAATAGGGGAAGGGGATGGGGAACTAAGTTTGTGACAACTTCAAAAGGGTAAGGTGTAGGTATTGAAAGAGAGTGGTAGAACTGTGCTATTGAAGCCCCC